AGCAATGTAGGAGTGTGCCTTTTCCCCCACATCCTCGCCAGCGCTTATGGTTGTTTGTATTTTTGATAGCTGCCATTCTGACTGGAGTGAGATGAAATCTTAGAGTAGTTTTGATTTGCATTTCTCTAATTGCTAGAGATGTTGAACATTTTTTTCATATGTTTGTTAATTGATTGTATATCTTCTTCTGAGAAGTGTCTGTTCAGTTCCTTGGCACATTTATTGACTGGGTTATTTGTTTTTTTGGTGTTAAAGTTTTTGAGAGCTTTATATATCCTAGAGATTAGTGCTCTATCTGACATGCTTGTGATAAATATTTGCTCCCATTCTGTAGACTCTCTGTTCACCTCACTGATTGTTTCTTTTGTGTAGAAGAAGCTTTTTAGTTTGAATCCATCCCATTTATTGATTCTTGGTTTTAATTCTTGTGTTACAGGAGTCTTATTAAGAAGTTAGGGCCTAATCCAACGTGATGGAGATTTGGGCCTACTTTTTCTTCCATTAGGTGCAAGGTCTCTGGTTTAATTCCTAGGTTCTTGATCCACTTTGAGTTTTGTGCATGGTGAGAAACAGAGGTTTAATTTCATTTTGTTACATGTGGATTTCCAGTTTTCTCAGCACCATTTGATGAAGAGGCTATCTTTTCTCCAATGTATGTTTTTAGCGCCTTTGTCTAATATAAGATAGCTGTAGTTATGTGGGTTAGACTCTGTATCCTCTATTCTGTACCATTGGTCTACAGGTCTATTTTGGAGCTATTACCATGCTGTTTTTGTTACTATTGCTCTGTAGTAGAGTTTTAGGTCTGGAATAGTAATGCCACCAGCTTCACTCTTCTTGCTAAGGATTGCTTTGGCTATTCTGGGTCTCTTATTTTTCCAGATGAATTTCATGATTGCTTTTTCTATTTCTATAAGGAATGCCATTGGGATTTTGATTGGGGTTGCATTGAATCTGTATAGTGGTTTTGGTAGTATGTTCATTTTGACAATATTAATTCTGCCTATCCAAGAACAAGGAAGATCTTTCTATCTTCTAAGGTCTTTTTAATTTCTTTCTTTAGCGTATTGTAGTTTTCATTGTAGAGGTCTTTCATCTCTTTTGTTAAATTTATTACCAAGTATTTTATTTTATTTTTTGAGGCTATTGTAAATGGGGTGGTTTTACTAGTTTCTCTTTCAGTGGATTGTCACTGATGTACAGAAATGCCTTTGATTTATGGGTGTTGATTTTATATCCAGCTACTTTGCTGGATTCATTTATTAGTTCAAGGAGATTTCTGGTGAAATGTTTTAGGTCTTCTAGGTATAGAATCATATCATCTACAAATAGTGATAATTTGAGTTCTTCTTTTCCTGTCCGTATCCCTTTAATTTTTTTTCTGTCTTATTGCTCTGGCTAGAGTTTCAAGAACTATGTTAAATAGAAGTGGTGACAGAGGGCATCCCTGTCTTCTTCCAGTTTTTAGAGGGAATGCTTACAATTTTTCTGCATTAAAATTCTTTTCTTCAGCAAAAATGTAATGTCAACCAAAATGAAATGGAACGTGGTTAGCAGGTTAACCATGGTTACTAAGTCTTAAGTTGGAGAAGGAATGGGTGAATGAAACCTCTTCCACACTGTTGGTGGGTAGATAGGGACAAGAAATTTCCAGAGGACAATTTAGATAAACCTCTACAAAACTTTAAAATTCTAGTCTTTGTATTAACTCTTATGTGGTTATGTGAAAAAAAAATTAATACACCTAGCTGTAAGGATTATCATTACAATAATAATAGTAAAGACTGCAAACAATCATGTAAAATAAATTATGGAGAGTTAATGTACTACTTAATATCATGAAAAACTTCCACCATAAATGGTCCTGTAAAATGAGCAAATTACTTAATAATTACAGGAATATAATTATATATATATGCATGCATATGTAATTTTATTTATATATATGTGTATATATATATATATATATATATATATATATATATATATATATATAGTTTGCTATTTTTGCAAATAAGTGTGTCTATATTTGAGGGTATATGTAAATGCATATGTTAACACATAAACATATATATATGTACATATATTTCTAACTAGATAGACACAGACAAATATTAGTAATAGTTATTGATAGGAAATAACAATATAAGTGATTCTAATTTTATGTCCTTTCATGAATCTACATTTTCTAAAATTTTCACAACAAACACATATTAACATAGGAGTAAGAAAACATGAAAAAAAATACATTTTTACACTTTAAAACAGGTATGCTTTCCTTAAGGCAGCAGAAATCCCCTTTTCACATGAAATCTTATGAGAAAACCCAACTCACAGAAGCTATAGAATGTGTGAAGCAAGGGGTGGCAAGCCTAGAGTCCTGTTCACTTGGTGGATGTCCTTGAAGACCCACTTTGGAGGGTCAGGGCTAGAGGACTCTGCACCATGCACACTACCACCCTCTCTAGGAGTGAAGTGCTTTTAGTGAGCCCTGACCATGTAAGCAAGGCCCGTGACTGCTGCCTGGTACATAATAACTCATAAACTAACAGCCCATTCCATTTTAATTCACTGCATTCCATATTATATATTCATTTATTGAGCATTAAAATTTTTCCCCCAGATTTTAACTTTGCATCACATTAGTTTACCTATGGACTAGAACTAAAAAGATTTTATCATTACATTGGGAGGAACTCAGAGGATTATACTTGATACCACCAGCCTCAGATTTCCTTGAAGGTCAATATGAGAAATGACCACAGGAAGAATGAATCTCCATCTTCTCTAAAAGTAGCATTAAATACATTTTTCCATTCTGATGTTCAAAGTTCCTTACATAAGGATGCATGTGATAAATTCTCCTAAAATTTTAGTACTGGAAAAAAAAATTTGCTATTTTTATAAATAAGTGTGATTTCCTTTTATAATGCTGTTTTATTCCTATATATCTCCTCATGTTTCCTTTTTGACTTTGTCTTCCATAAAGCTCAGAATCATGTTTATTGCCAAGTTATAGAAACAAACAGCTGCCCTATCTTGCAGAAAAACTATCTCAGAACACTTTCGCTATTTAGAACACTTTCTATTAAGAACATTTTCTCGTATTTATCCTCAACTAAATGGTCCCATGATATGCATGGCTCATGTTATATGATTTTGAGATAGATAATTTTCACACACAGAAATGCACTGTATGACTTTTAGGCAATAGTGTGTGTGTGTGTGTGTGTGTGTGTGTGTGTGAGAGAGAGAGAGAGAGAGAGAGAGAGAGAGAGAGAGAGAGAGAGAATGTGCATTCATTAAACTTCAACAGCAGACTAAAAGACATTCAGTGGGTTAAACATACTTCTTTACCTTTCAGGAAGGCCCAATGTTTAATTCTTATTGTCAACTTTACTTAGATCATTTTACAACAAGTACTAAATAGGGCACAGAATATGGGGGCAGGCCCTCAAGTTTTTGGAATGACAATGATATCAATAGTTTATCTATGTTATTTCATTTAAGGGACGTGATTATTCTTTTGGTGTTGTTGTTTTTTCTGAGATGCATAATAACATGGCAATGTACTAACACAGTAGAATTTGCACTAAAATAATTTGGGTACAAGGACCTAATAGGGGCGGAATCTTGATCATTGGAATTGGGAGGCAGCTTTCTGTTCTAGCACTAGCACTGTTGAGGTTCTGCTGTAAGTTAGGTCAGTTGATGAGAGAAGAAGACTGTCACTGCTAAAACAATTTGCCACAGCATTCACAAGAGAGCCCAAACCAACCAGAATCAAGCACACCAGGCAGGCTCCTAGGACTCTATCTTCCCACTCTTGGAGGTCTGCATAATAATCCACAGGTGAGCTTCCATCAAAGTAGTGATGCTTGGTATTCAAGAGTCCAGAATCTGGACTTCCATTTGCTAAATTTAAACCCTAGTTTACCACTCAATGTTAGCTGAGTAAAATGGGGACAGTGTCTTATTTTGAGTCGTTCTATAAATTAATGAGATCTTCAGTTAAAGGCAGCTAGCCAGAGCCTGGATCATGGTCCATCTTTAATTTAGGTCAATTTTTATTGTTATTTGTTATTTAGACTTAAAGCATCACCTACTAAAATGCAAGTACCCAGCGAAGCATGTCTCGTTATTGGTTAACACTTTAGCAGAGATTCTCACCATGTGACTGTCAGTTAAGATGCAGAAGGCAGCAAGGGATTCAGGATTGAAACCTGGGAGAAGCAGGGAATCAGCTTTTAGGAGAGAAATAGCTTTGACATTTGCTTGGAGCCTCAGTGATTCTTCTACATGGAAAAGCACCCAATCACTGCAGCTACTCAAGCGTAAACCCTCACAGTCACAGAAAGGCGACCTAATTGTGGAAGCCAGATCACAGGATCCATGGCCCTCGAGCCTTGGGACTGCCCCTCTATCAGCTGCCCCACCTCAGAGGACTCCCTATGTGGACTTTCTGTGCTAAGAGACATACAAGTGCAAAGCTGCCACGTTGAATCTGTGTTTTCTGACTTGCCAAGCGCACAGGCAGAGATCGAGAACACTGGTGTGTGGGAGATGGCCATGCCCTGGGAGGCTATCTACACTGGATCCTGTGCTGATGGCAGGTGGAAAGTCAAGGTATTTCTCTATGGAACAATTGTGTGTGTACCCTTTCCCACTAAGTGCAGACTTCCATTTGTAAAGTCATCCATCACCCCTATAAATCAGTCATCTCAACACCCTCTCCTGTCCAGCAAGGAGAGAAGAGCATTTTGGAGACATTCTATGAACCTATTATGTACAAAATGGATAGATTGTTATGATGATTTCTCCCCAGGGTACCAAGGAGAGGCTGATTCTGAACAAATCATTCACATTCACTCCTTGAGAGAGACTTCATTTCACCTCCTGCTGGGTCAGGGAGGAGTACACACCTAGACACGTGCATACACACACACACACACACACACACACACACACACCCAGCTCGCTGTGCGGCATGAAGTACTGACCTGTTAGGCCGGCAGCCTCGGCGGACAGGAAGGCACTCCAGGACAGGAGGAAAAACAGGCCCGTTTCCAGCATTGGGAACTCACACAGTTTGGTAAATTTGGTCAAGTGATAAAATGTGTTAAGGGAAACACCAACTGGTTTGACAGCTACATCACCGTACTGGCTGAAAAAAGCTGATCTGGTAATGATATTTCAGAGTGAAAGACTGATTTTCAGTGCCAATCTCAGTGGGCCCTTCTCGGAAGATCAGAATGAATTCCATGCTTTGCTGGGGGCTGAACATGCCCATGAAAATAATTCAAACCTGTGTTCAGACAGCGGAGGTGTCTAGGAAGAGTATAAACCCAGCAAATTATGGGTGCAAAACCTCTGGAAGTTGGCCTCAGGCCATGTGTGGGGTGTGCCCTTAGGAGAGCTGTGGCAGGTACCCAGGAGCCCAGGAGAGTATGGCTAGAAGGAGATCCCCAGGGAGCAGCCTGGCCTTCCGCTGTCCTGTGTGGGCTGGCAATAAAGACAGTGCCTGTTCCCACAGTGTGGAGAGTGGCATGAGGTGAAGTTGCTAAAAATGGTTTGAATGGTTTAGAAAGCACAGAGTGCCAGGAGGCAGGATGACCTAGGTGCCCTCGGAAACTGACTCCACATGGGTTTGTATTCACCATATCCACATTTCTTGACCCCTCTGTGCTTCTGATGTCCTGTCAAAAAGTGGAGGTAATACTACAGTCTACCTCATTGGCAGTTATACCAATTAGTACATGTTAAAAACTCAGAAAAGCACCCTGCAACAAAAGTGATATTAATTTTTTTTTCTGTTAGCGATATAAAATTTTTTTTAAAAAAATCTTTGCTGAAAATAGAACTAGCAAGACCCCCAAAGCAACTCTATGGAGTGAAAAAGGGCTGCCCTTAGGCCCCTTTCAAAACCCCTTTTGTGGCTTGGAGGAGGGAAGCCTTTGTTTCTAGAGGAATTCCTCAGAATTCCTCTTCTGATTTGTCTTAAAGAGGAAGCTCTCAAAAAAAGAAATAAGTAAATATAAATATATTCATAAATATATAATCTAAATTATATATATAAAAAAGAGGAGGCTCAGTTCAGGCTTAAGTAACAGGATCTCAAAGGGCTACAAGGCCTTCTTTTTACTTAATCACCTCTAGAAAGTGGCTGGGTTCTGAGTTAACCCCCAGGTGCAGAGCCTGGAGCTACAAGCCGAGGAAACTCTGTCTCAGTCAGGAAGGGAAATGAGGGGATGCAGGTGGAGCGACAGCAGTGCACCTGCCTCCCTCATGCCTGTTGGCCCTGCAAGTCCTAGCTGTGAAGCCTTAGCCAAGTTGTTTAACCTAAATTGTGCTCCTTCAGCTGTAAACTTGAGATAATAACAGAACCTGCCTTTGGGCATCCTTGCAAAATCTGAGATAATCCATGCAAGATGCTCAGGGCAACTTCTGGCACATGGTACACCTCTCAATGAACATTAGATGATATTATTAGTGTCATGTTCATTGTTACTGGTGCATGACCCATCGTGAGCTCCTTGACCTCCTCATGCCTCAGTTTCCTCTTGTGCAAAGTGAGGATGATAATAACCTCCCTACAGGGTTAATCCAAATGAGGTGGTGCATGGCCAGACATTGCCTAAGTGTTCCTGTCACCATTATTATTGCTCTGTTCTAAACCACACATGACCTTCGATGCAACTCCAGCTAGTGATTAAGACACAACAGGAAAAAGTGATTGGGAGTGTGCATTTTCATTCTGGGCTCACTTATTGATTACATGGCTTTGGCCCATAGCTTATCCTTTCTAAGCTGTTGGTGCCCAATAAATATAAGCACTGTTGATATGGTGGTGTGCAGGTTAGTTGAGGATGGCACTTCATTGTGAACAAGCAGTAGAGGGCCCGACATACCACAGCACTGAGTAGGATCACTTTTGCTTTTGGAAACCAGTCTCCCTTTTCTGACTTACTTTATTTCTGTCAGTGGAGGTGTCATTCTCCAGGGGTTCCAGGACCGAGCTTTGGCATAGTCTTTGAGTCTCCCCTTCTTCATCTCTTGTGAACAACCTATCATAGGTCCCAAAGAGTCTCCTTTCTAAACATTGGGTTCCATTCTGATGCTTCTCCACAGTTTGCTATGGTTTTCCCTTGGTTCGAATCCCTTTCCTTTGACCTATCCCCTGGACCAGAACCTCTCTTTTTAAAAATAAGAGAGTCCCTCTTCTGAACAGAAACCTTCAGCAGCTAGTTGTAGACCAGAGAGCAAGACTCAGCCTTTTCAAGAACATTCCAAGGTATTCCACAGCAGCCTCCATCCCACTTGTATGAACACATTGTCCATTTCTCTTCAGCTGGAGCCCTCTGGTCCTCTAAGGCTCATCTGCCATGTGCAGCCCCAGTCAGTCCCATCTCCACCAGGGCAAATGCTGATCTTCCCTTCCTGGGGTACTTACTGCATAGCCCTGGCCTCCATCCTACCTATCTTCGAGGCCAAGCCCAGGTCCCTCTCTGCATAAAAATACCACTTTTCAAATTATTTTCTGGAATAGTTGGCCAAGAGTCTCTTCGACTATTCCAGACACAATGGTCTTTCTCTGAATTTTTATAGTCCCAATAGCTTGCATACAGCTTTGGCACTTTCTATCCAGTTCTCAGTGTAGAGCTTGTCTTCCCAAGCTTGCCATTTCCTTGTGGGCAGAGACCGTATTTTATTCATCCTGACTCTTTGTAGACACCCTCATTAGAACAGAGCCTTTTAGCAGCTGTTCAGTGAATCTCAGGGCCAGTCTTCATGGAAAAAGACTCCAACAGTTTGCATTTCTTACCTTGGGCTCTGATCCCTTGTGGCCACATTCCTCTCTTTTCTCTGGGATTTTTGGCCATTGTTCTTTGTCTTTTTGTCTCTCCTCTGGCCTCAAGTCCTCACAGTTGACATTGATCCTCTGGCTTTCTTCCCCAACTCTGATTCACTTTTGCCCCATCCAGCTATTCTAGGTGAACAGCATACTAGAACAAGGACACTCCCACCCCACCTGGGATCCTTCAGGAACTCTACCCATCCTCCCTACTCCCTAATATCAAAGAAAAGATCCAAGGACACAGTGTCCCAGATATGGGAAACATGTCATTTCTGCATTGTTTGCAGATTCCCTTCTATACAGTAGTTATGGATACTTTTTAAATCCGTAGTGATATCTGGCTTGGCTTATCCTGTAGGCTAGTGACTGTCACAAGCATAAAAAGGAGGCAGAGCCCAGCCAGGTTATCACCCCCAGTTCATCCTATGTTCATGATGCTGGACCTTCAGTTCTTCCTCTCAACCCTTGGAGAGCCAATCCTGATGTTCTCTGCCCACTACTTTCCCTACATTGCATTTTTTAAAAGGCTGTTGATAGTCTAAGATGAGACATTATCAAGAGTGCTAGTATTGACCCTGGACAAGAAAGATCCTGGCCCCCTCTGCCATGGGTGCCAACCTGTGCCTCCAGGGATGATCACTCAGAACCAAGATGGACTTAGCAGGGCTTTATTCAGCTTGAACCATTTACTGGCCTGGAGGTTGTTCATCCTCAGAAACATTCCATGGATGCTGGGTGCTCTCAGAAGACCCCAGCTTTCCACAGACAGATAAAGGATATCAGTGCTGTGACAATAGCATATGCAGACCCCATTGCAAATGAGCCAGCGAAGATCCCCAGGAAATTCCCCACAGACTGGAAGAACGCAGCGGTGTCAAATGCATTTGGATTCTCCTTGGGACTGTAAATGGATATAGAACTGAAAAGACAAGAGGAAAGATTAGTCAGTGACTTCCATCTTATGGCCCAGATTAGTAGTTTCACAGTCCCCACCCCCTTTGGGAGAGGCACTCTGTCCTATAAGTTTGGGTGCTACTTGGGAGGGTTGAGGGGGAAAGGATGAAGAGGAAAAGAGGTAGAGAAAGCAGAAAGCTTTCTCTTACCTTACAGCCCAATCCCATGGTATCCATATATTTCTGCCAGTCAGTAAACATTTTTATATTGGAAGGGTCATAAAGAATATTGTTTCTGAGCAAACTAGGCATTAAAACATGGTAGGTATATACGGAATCTGCTGAGAAGATAGATAACTGTGAATTATTTAGTGGCCATATGTCTTCAGTGCTGTTATATATTCACAAATGTTCCTGATAAAAAGTGCACTTTTATGGCCTGTGCACAAATGGGTGATACAAATCATGGCGTGCACAAAATATTCTGCCGTGATCTTGTCATAAACCACAAAGCCTTCCTCTCTCCAGCGTAACCCTTCAGAAACAGAGCCCTGGTGGCGTTCAGAACATCACAATATTAACCCCCAAGGAGAGACAAAACCCTCATCTTCCCACCATAACAAATGGCAGCAGCTGCCCAAGGTCATCTTTTATATCCCAATTCTGGTGGCTGCCAACAGATTTATTTCCATAGAGAAAAATCAATCCACCAATAGGCAGTCTGTTCACTTAAATATTTTTGAGGATATTGTACTTTTTAAAAAAAAAAAAAAAAAAACAAGGCCTCAAACCCTAGAGTGTTAATATGAATAAAGAGGTGGGCCTTCTTTGGGGATATGTGAACTCCATATTATAGCATTAAAATGAAAAGATGCATGGGAACTAGCAACTTTAGGGAGACAAAAGAAGTAATATTTATTTATTTCTTGCAATTTTTCTTTTAACATGGGGTATTTAAAAGTAATCAGGAAAAATCAAGAGTTTGGCAGTGATTCTGGAAAAGACTATGGCAGTATGGAGAGAAAATACACTAGACCCAATGACTGAGATGAAACTGGGATTTATAGAGCTGTAACTGGATCTTCTGTGCTCAGATGATTAGAACGTGTTAACTCTCCGACCCGACTTTTTCCATCTAGAGACTAGTTAAGACCGTGCAGGGGGGAACAGATTCCATTTCTCCTTCTGGAAGATACATGGCATAAAGAAGGTAGTTTTAAATGTTCTTAGTTTTCCCCTGGATGTCTTTAAACCCCCAAAGTAGGCCAAACACTTCTGCTTTGATCCTGTAATTGGATAAGGAAGATGAATGTGGATCTTGAATGGAGCTCTGAAATATATGCGAGAAAAGGTTTGCCTTTGAAGTGATTTTCTTTTTGTAAAGTGTTATGCTTTGCAGGAAAAAAAAAAAAGGAAAAGCAAACCCATATTCTGGGCCTTTGTATTTGCCAGTCCTGGGGAAAGGTGTAACCCTCCCCTGGCCATCAGGAAACCTGGTGCCCAAGGCTGTGAAGTCTGAAGTGTTGGCCTTGACTTTCAGCAGATTTCCTCATTCCAGGGAAGAAACAATGGAGAAGGAAACGGCTACACTTCTTTCTTCCTTTCAGACAAAGGTTTTTGCCTGGTAATGTAGCTTTGTAAATAACTGAAATTCCCAGGGCTGCTTCCAGTAGATCTGAGCCCCTGAAAGGATAAAGGCATCTCTTTACCCTTCCCCTCCATCTTCACACCCCTAGAAGGGTTTTCTCTGTCTGGCAGCTTCTGGAACATACCACCATCACATCATTTGGCCATATTCTGTACCATTATTTATTTAATGTTTTTCTTTCAATCAACTCATTTACATTCAAAAGTAAGAGATTTTATTAAATAATATGTATGCTATCATATGTACTTTTTGATGTAATAAATATATTTCTTCTTAATGAATGTAGAATAAATAATTTGAAAAAAAAAATTCCCTAGAGTGTTCCCTAAACTCATCTCCATAACCCCACTGATTTGGAGTCTGTGCTTGGAAAGGCCATCCAACAGGGTATAGCCTCTGTGTGTCCAATTGTGTACCCTTCCCATGATTTTTGACTTAACTGAAGGGGAAGGCTTAACTCCCCTGGGCTATGCAGATGATCCATTGAATTTGCCATGTATGGCTCCCCAGGACAGGTTCCCTGGGTTTCTGCTATGTTCTAGGTGATGTACTAGGTACAGGGTGCTGGGGGAAGACAAGGAGGCACACAGAGAAGGGGAACAGAATTCGATTCAATATTTTATTAATACTGGGTACATGCAAGACGCACCCAGGCAGAAAAGCCCAAGACACCAATACATATGGCTCTAGTCCCAGTGCTGAGTGTGAGGCTGAGAGAGATACACAAAATGTAATGGGACAGAAGAGGAAACGGGCACTGTTTTAACATAAAGGAGGTAGTTATTTGAGCTAGGTTTCAAGTGGACACACAGTGATGGGGAGAGGGTCTTCCAGGCAGTGGGAAGAAAGTAAAGAAAGGCAGGGAGGAAGGTGAGTTCGGGGTAAATTCTAGGTGTAGCTGCGTGGTCAGGGCTGGAGCCTGAAGTGTGTACCCACGCCTATGATGATTGGGGTGTGGGAGGTGCCATCTTGAGCCCTTGACTCCATGCTCAGAACACTTAGGAGCCCACACAGGGACATAATGCTTAGTCCTCTTACGCCTACATTTAATTTGGTTCAATCCTATAACATTTCTGAGAGATGAATAGGGCCAGTATAGCAAACCCTCCCTCCCTCCTTTCTTCCTTTTTCCTTTTTATAAAATAGACTGAGGAAAAGAGAAATTAGGGTCATACAGCAACCATGTCCACAAAGTCAGTCTCTTATTTCTTCCTTAAAAAATGGCATCATTTTAGGAACCCACATGAACCCATATCGGGGTAGCTGAGTAGCACTGACTGTCAACGTAGGCATCCTGTAGCAGAGCCCAGGAGCTTGGCCTGCACAGTCCTGCATGGTCCTGCACACAGGGATGAGTCAGCCCTGGGCCCCAGTAGGCATGAGTCAGGGCTCCTCAAGGGAACCTGCTCATGTGCTTGCTGGGCCTGGGCCTTGTTCCTCTTCATATGCTCAGGACACAGCCTGGTATGGGTCGTGTGGCAGGTTATATAAAGGTTGATGGAAGGAAGGTTGATGACTGGGAAGAAGAAGGGAGAAAGGAAGTCATGCAGGAAATAAGGAGGCTAGCGAAAGGAAGCATCTCTCAAAATGAGTCACCATTCACTAGATTTTAACTGGGCACTGACTATATGTAGTCATGTTGTGGGTACTTTGGGGGATGTCAGTGCACCCATAAAACTGACACTAGTGTTTTTTCACTTGAGCCCAAAATTTGATACCTGTTGCCTGCCTGGTCTTGGAAAAGTACTTCATCCAATGGAGACTCAATTTCTTCCCATGTTAATGGAGATGACAGTAGTATTTATCCTCTAGAAATGTGAGGATCAGAGACACATTTAAACTCACATATGTACTTTGTAGATTTCAGAACCTTTCACAGAGTGATTTTTTTTTTTGCTCAAAATAAATACCCAGTGCAAGTTTATTGTCACTAGACTTGTCATCCCGTTAAGGACTTTCCACAGGTCTCACGAAGACAGACAGCAGAGTTGTGGGTGCTAAACAACGTCTCAATTCCGACTGTGAGCAGAAGGATGGTGTTTGGCCTCCTGGGATGAGCTTTGAGGTCGTTAGGAAGGAGCTAGTCACTTTGCACAGGGACAGAAGTGGGTGCAGGGCAAGAATGGACCAGACAGGTGCCCCAGGAAAATGGCCATGGGAATGACAAAAAGTTATTTTAATTGCAGAGGAGTTGATTCAGGGCCCCAGGGAGGGAAGAAGCATCTTCAGCAGGCTAAGCAAGGGTCGTCTCCAGAGACAAGAGCAAGCCAGGTGCCTCAGCTTGAGTTGTGCCTCAATGAGTTTAGTGAGGGGTATTCTGCAGGCAAATGCCCTCTGTCTTCTGGTGAGAAATAAGGTAAGGTGGGCAGGGTCTCATGGCCCAGGAAGGCTGCAGTTCTCGAGATTGCCAAGATTTTATAAAGCTGTTCCTCTAGGCTCTTGCTCCTGGCAAGGGACATCTCTCTGGGTTCTGGTTTCTAGCTGCAACACTGGCCTCTGAATTTGGTATCAGCAGATGCAAGGGGTTAGAAACAGCATGGGGTTTGGGTAGCACATGTGGGGTTTTCCAAATTCAACCCAAGCGAAAGATGGCATTGTTCCAGCAATTTCAGCCCTTTGGACTAATCCCCTAATCCCCTGTGCCACAGGAGATGCTTGAACCAGTGGATGTTAATACTGGAGGGGGAGAAGAGAAAAAGGAATTGGATTTTCTGTCCTGTGCAGGGGGAACACTTCAAAAGCCCTGCTTAGAGCACAAGCTGGTGAAAGTGGATCCACGGTCTCCACATTTTTAGAAATGAAAGTTTGAGTCGGACGGCACTAGTATCTTTGAAAATGATATGGCCAGAAATACACAGGGGTGTTTAAATATTTAGCTCATAAATTGGAAATAAGTCCAGGTTATTGATCCAGTCTACTCAGGAACAGATTATTCAGCAAAAACTAGTTTGATAACAGTCTATGTGGTATCCATACTCAGAAATAAGCCTGTGCAGCATCTTTTATTTGGAAATGAATGGTATATCCCAAATTCCTTTATGGAAACAAATTAATTAGGATCATTTTAATAAGTTAATAAGGATCATTTTTTTTTCAGTATACCACTTAAGATTAAAGAGGCACAAACAAGTTTCTAGTGTTTCTCAACAACCCATCTTTTTGTCTGTATGATGTTTCTGAAAGAATAGATTTTCCTGAAAGAATAAGAATATTTTAGGGAGCATCAAGGATGTAGACCTGCATCTGAGATCTGGGTGTCGATCTCAACCGTCTTACTGGCTGTGTGACTGTAAGCATGTTACTTAAACTATCTTTACTCCTCCCTTTCTACAAAAGGGCAAGAGTACCTACCACAGAGGGTTGCTATAAGAATTAAAT